TTACTACGTAGACAAATTAACTTACCTTCCATTGGGAAAGACGTGCCTCCTAAACATCCGATTCGTGTGTCCTTTCCCTGGAGTGCATTTTCTAGCCATTTTAGCTACAAGTGTTCATACTCAAGGTAAAATTCGAAAAAGAAATCCTTCCATGTTGTAAGGATGTGGAAACTCTGAAAGTTTATAGATTTTTGGCTGCAATATCTATCGTCAAAAGGACATTGTGGACTGTTTTGGAAGTGTTTTCAGGTTTGGTGGGTCAAAGACAAAACTATAAGTTTTTGAACTGCTGATAACTAATAACTACGAAAGGACGTTGAACCTTGCCATCACTAGTTCGATAGGGTCAAGTCCAATAATTGTATCAGTCTATTGTATATTTATTTTAGTAAAATGATTTATATATTTTAGGAAAATGATCTAGGTATTTTATACGTAGTTATTAGAAAAAGATTTAGATATCTTAGGAACAGATTGACTGGTCTCTACTATAAATACCCCTCCACCCTACCTAGGTTTTCATCCCAATAAATACAAAGCATAGAGTACAGTAGTTTCTACGGAGTATCTTGTAACCTCAGGGGAGGCTCTATAATATACTTTGCTTAAAATGAGGATTGTGGAGGATTGTTGGGAGAGGAGTCTCACATCAGCTAATTTAGGGGTTGATCATAGGGTTATTAAGTAAAGAATATTATCTCCATTGGTACGAAGTATTTTGGAGAAACCAAAAGGAAAGTCATGAGAGTTTATGCTTAAAGTGGATAAAATATCATACCATTGCAGATGGTCGTAGTTCCAAAGAGTGGTTACATAGGAAACTATGATGCCTACAAGAATTGCTTGCTGAATGTACTTAGTACCTGGCCTCTAATCAAAGTGCTACTCCGACTTTTGTAACTATGAAAGTTTTTCTATTATAATCTCTTTGTAACCCGTGATTATTTTTCATTAACAACAAGAAAAGGAAAGAAAAAAAAATTGATAGTATGCATTCATATAGATGCCATGTATTGCATATTGCAGGATTATGAAATGCTAGTAGCTCGAGATAAAAGACGGGTCGCCGAGGCTGGTGTTCGTTGATAACAACTTCAAGGTAATTTTGGAATAAGAAGATAAACAATACGAGTAATGTTTTTGCTTTTAGATATGACATTGATGGGCGAGTTTAACATTATGTCTATATTGTCTACAATTTCAATGAGTAACGGAACGCAAATTTTTCCTTATTGACTTTTACTTTTCTTTAATGACTGCAAAAACGACATCGGAAAAACTTTTTCCAACGAGAAAAATAGTTGTGAACAATAGCATGAGTAGATTATTGTCGGGAGAGTTTATGCTAAATAATATAAGGATGTAGTGTTAGTAAAAGCCATAGCCCTGCATTCGTCCTCATCCCGTTCATCAGTCGAGAAGGGTTTTTCAAGGAAAATCATTAACCAACGATGTCGCGATGTGAAAACTCGTCGTGGAATAGATAATGAGAGAAGAGTAGAAACCAAATAATAAAGGTTTGAAAGAGGATTCCTTCTTCACTTTTGCAGTCATTAAAGAAAAGTAAAAGTCAATAAAGAAATCTCTTTGGATGCCTTTATTTTCTTTTTTTCAATGGGGATTCTGATCTCTATGTGGACAATAAATATGATGATTTTATATTTTCTTTGGGATATAGAAATATATTTGAATAATTTAGTACATTTGAGTTCATCCCGATCATACACGTACATGAAGTATAACTTTATGCGCATTTTTTAACCCAACTAAACTCGTATGTTAACTATCTCAAGGTAATTTTTTAATTTCAATTAAATATTTAAAAATAAGTAAATTGGTGTTTTACTTTTATTATAAACAAAATTTTGAATAAATGACGGAACAACCTAATACAAAATTTATAGTTTGGGTTGGATTGAACTCATTATTTACGAGAGATGTTTGGATTGAAAATTTACAACTCGAACAGTTAAAAACACCCTTAATTTTTTAAGCTATATTTTTTATCTCTCGGTTTATGGTTATTATGTTAATAATGTAATAATGTCCTAAGACATATTAAATAATTCTTTTTTTTTTCTTTTTCTTTACAAAAATTGTTTTATTAAGAAAAAGAAGTTGAAACACTCATCATATGAATGAGTTGTTGGAGATTCCAAATAAAATGGCTATTTACTAAATTGCCCTCATAATTCCAATTATTTCCATTAATTTTTTTATTAAGCTAAAAAATTGTGGGTCAAGAGGGGAGGGTGCTTTTGTACAAAAGCCTTGAATGCCTAATTTTTCATCCCTAAATTAAATTCATTATTATTACACCTAATGGAAGGAATCAATGGACACTTTTTTTTTTCTTCTTTTTCTTCTCTTTATTTTTTATTTTTTAATTTTGATTCCTAATAATGAAAACCTTTATGTATTTTATGTTATTTATAAACATTAAAATAATTTCTTTTTATTTATTCTCTCTCTCCCCTTTTTATTTTAAATAAAATTTTATGTAGGGTCCATTGCAAAATAATTCGACTATCGTTAATTAATTGATATTGTCTATTTTGACACGTTGTGTATTACCATTGTTAAATATATTTAGCCTTCAATTATGGTTTATTATATGTATCATATTTACCATTTTATTATAGACAAATATCTTGTATCCATTTATTATTATTTCCATTTGTAATTTACCATATTTCTCTATTTGGTAAATGATTATAAATAAAGAATTTTACGTGGTGATTTTAGCAAATATTCTCATCTATCAGTCTCACTGTCTTAAAACTTATCAACTTGAAGTTTTCACACGCCCTTAATCAGTTCTCCCCTTTAACTATGGTAGTAATAACTACCAATTTTTAAAGATTTTTTAATCATAATTTCATATCGTTACACTCAATATCATCGAACGTGATTTTAGTTTATTCTTTTAAACTTAATCAATTGGACACCAAAAATTAAAAGGCAGATGCCCTCTCGTTTATAATTAAATAATTTCCTCGCATTTGAATATTTTACTAAAACTAATTAATTTATTTTTTGGTTTTTGACATTTTCTTTAATTTTTTTTAATAAAATTGGCATAGCATTCCTCTATATAGCCACGTGTCAGTGACATGACATTTTTGACTTTCGAGTTATTATTTTCATTTTTGACATTTTTTACGAAAATTCAAAATGTCAAAATGTCCAATTTCCTTAATTTCATCAAAATGTCAAAACTCTGCCCAATTTGTAAATATTAATATCAAATTTTATTTTTATTTTAAAATTTTGGGTAAAGAAATTTAAAGATTAAATTATCATAAAATTTTATTAATTTTTTATTTTGAAACCTAGAAATTAGAAAATTAAGAGTTCTTATCATAATAATTTTAAAAGGGTCTTAAAAACTCCGGTCAAAATTGGTTATTAATTTTCAATAATGATTTAATTATTAAATTTGACTGTGTTTTAAAATTTTTATAAAGTGAAGAAAAATAATTGTGGGTAATCAAAAGTCAACTTTGTAAAAGAACCTTAAATCATATTTAATCATATTTTCTTAAATATTATTTAATATTTAAGAAAAATAATTTTGCTTTTTTCTTTTTAAGATATAATTATTAGGATATTAAATTAAACTCGTTTCAATTAATTGGAATTAAAACACTTTTTCTAAAATAAAGAAATTATGGAGTCTCTCCTTAAATAGTTATTAATGCATTTAATTTTATTTTTGTTTATTTTTATAATTGGATGAAAAAAAAACACATGACCCCAACATGGTCGGGAAGTTTAACCATGAAGTTCTTGAGCCACCGAAAAATATAGGGTCATCTTCTTATATGAATATGGTCTTTACTCAAGTATCACATGTAACAGCTCAAATCCACTGCTATGAGATATTATTCTCTTTGAGCTTTCTCTTTTGCACGTGGAAAGTTTCCACACCCTTATAAATTGTGTTTTGTTTTTCTCCCCAACAAATGTGGGACATCACAGTCCACCCCCTTCGGGGCCCAGCGTCCTTACTGGCACACTGTCTCGTGTCTACTCCCTTCGAGAAATAGTGAGAAGGCTGACACATCGTTCGATGCCTGGCTTTGATACCATTAGAATTGTGATGTCTCACATTGGTTGATGAGGAGAACAAAACATCATTTATAAGGATGTAGAAACATTCTCCTAGCATATGCGTTTTAAAGCCTCGAAGAGAAGTCCGAAAGAGAAAGCGATGACAATATCTACTAGCGGTGAATTTGGCTATTAGATCACAATTACGTATGCAATTCAAATTTTCAACGATATTTTTAAATTTATTATTATTTTTTTTTGGAAGAAAACATTTTTTTTAAAGAAGAATTTATGTTATTGACTTAAATATTGCCTGCACGACAATAATCGAATTAGTGAGATTGATGATGACTAATTTTGACTTTTAATAATTTATTAATAAAATATAAATGTAACCCTTCACTTAGACTATAAAATTATTTTTATTTTACTTAAAAAAATAATATTTACCAATTTTTCTTCTCTAATGTATATCCATCTTCTATATATTTAATATTTTAGAATATCATCCTATTATTTTAATGATAAATTAAATTAATTAATGTATTTTATATTAAAAAAAACTAAAGACATTTGTACTTGAGGTCATCATCGAGGTTGGTCCCTCTCCGACGAAGAACTTCCTTCCTACGAACGAGATGAGTCTATGAGCTCTCTCCTCCATTTTAAATCACGGAAGTACACGTTTCAAATCTAAATAAAAGAAGAGGATTCACGTCATTTCTTTCATAAAAATAATAATAATAAAAAAAAGATTTTCGTGAACTGACCAAATTTATAATAGCGATTGACACCAATCGAACGGTTGAGGAAACTAAAAATGTAATTTGGGGTGAAAATAAAAGAAAGGGAAAGATATTTTGTAAAGAAGAAAAGTGATAATGAAAACAAAAAAGAAAGGGAAGAAGAGTCCACAATTCTTTATAGGATGCCTATCTTCACAATTCAACCGTTGAGCAAGCAAGCCGGCAAGCAGGCAAGCAAGCGCACGGCAACACGTTTGATGTGCTGTTGAGTGGTTAACCCAGTCTCCCCTTCCCCCCGCCCCACACCCACTATAAAGTTAAAGTTGGTTCAACTATTAAGAAATTTGGCACCCATTTCCCCCCTTTCTCTCCCTTTTTCATCATCATCATCATCTTCTTCTTCTTCGCATACATATCTTGAGAAAACCAGAGTTCTATGAGAGGGAAATGAGAAAGGGGCTGCCCCCAACAAGGTTTTTCTTCCAACAATTCAGCATATAGCTGAGGAAGAAGCTCCCAAGTTGAAAGAGAGACAACCCTTGTCTCTGCTTTTTTTCTTTTTTTCCCCTTTTGGTTCTTGTTTACAGCTTTTTGGAAGGGCGACTTTCGAAGATCTCTCACAGGAATCATTCTAGGTACTTTTTTTTTTTGTTAAGCTTTTTTGGGTTTTTAGTGGTTGGTGTTCTTCGCTATTGTTCATGCTTAACTTGTTCAGATTAATCCCTTTTCCCCTTCTTCTCTCTTGGAAATTGGGGTTTGGTTAAAATTTGTCTGTGTTCTGTGTTGGATGTGGACTTGATGCTGCTAATTCTTGTAAACTATGGCTTTGTTTTGCTGTGAAATGTTATCTGTTTTTGTTTCTTGCTTGTCCTTATGATTGAAGGATGTAAGGTACCCCGGAGTAGTGTTCTTAGCAGGTATGATATCGATCAGGGAGTTTGGGTGGAACCCTTTTGGAGTTTGGTAGGGATTTTTGTTTCTACTTTTCTGGGTTGGTGATCAACTTGATACTGATTTATGCCATATGGTTTATTTTGCTACTCATCGCTGAAGAACATTCTGTTTTTGGTAGGAGTTTTGGTATACATGCTTTTACTTGTATTTGTTCTTGTTTGATCGATGTTGGGCAAGCAATTAGTAGAAGAATTAGTTTATAACTGGTTATAGATACTGTAAAAATGGCTGTACTGAAGCTGAAGCTTTCATTTCCTTCTCTTTCAGGGTGAGAAATTGATGCAGGGAAGATGGGAAAGCAAGGGAGTTGGTTTTCTATTATAAAGAGGTTTTTCACTTGTCATTCAGGAGAGGTAAGTTATTTCTTGACTTATTATGAGTATGATTGTAACCGTTTAAGCTCACCGTTAGCAGATATTGTCCTCTTTGAACTTGCTTTTTCGGGCTTCCCCTCAAGGTTTTTCATATGCGTTTGCGAGGGGGAGGTTTCCACATTTTTATAAGATATGTTTCGTTCTCCTCCTCAACCGATGTGGGATCTCACAATTCACCCCTTTCGAGACCCAGTGTCCTCGCTGACACTTGTTCCCTTCTCCAATCAATGTGGGACCCCCCAATTCTCATCCCCTTCGGGGCCAATGTCCTTGCTGGCACACCACCTCGTGTCCAACCCCATCGGGGCTAGTGTTCTTTCTAGCACACCACCTCGTGTCCACCCCCTTTGGAGCTAGTGTCCTTGCTGGCACACCACCTTGTGCCACCCTCTTCGGAGCCAGTGTCCTTACTGGCATACCACCTCGTGTCCACCCCCTTCGGGGCTCAGCCTCCTCGCTGGCACATCATTCAGTGTCTGGCTCTAATATCATTTGAGATAGCTCAAGCCCATGAGGCTTTTCCTTTTAGACTTCCCCTCAAGGTTTGTAATACGTGCTGCTAGGGAGAGATTTTCACACCCTTATAAAGAATGTTCCGTTCTTCTCCCCAACCGATCTTGAGCTGTTACAATGAAAGCTAATGAACTTTGTTATGTTTTGTTTACGTAATTTGTTTTGTGCACGCAACCGTGTTCTTTCTCGGCATTGATTTTGATCACGAATAGCAGGATCGTGAGAATAATAGCAGCAATGAAAGGAAGGGAGATGGGAAAGGAGGGTCCAGTTCCTTCATTCCTATCTTTAGAAAGCCAAGCAGTATTGAGAAAATCTTTAGCGAATATGAGAGGGACCAACAAAGAGTAGCATTCCAGCCTCCTATTCCTGAACCTCCATCTACTACACCACCCTCTATACCTCCTCCTCAATCAGCTTCCCCGCAGGCTTCTTCTCCATCTCGAGCTTGTTCATCAACCGTCGTCAATCATCACGAGGAAGTCAGCAACATTCCAACAGTCGTCCATCATCACGAGGAAGTCAGCCAAATCCCAACAGCCGTCAGTCATCACGAGGCTGTCAGCTACATTCCAGAACCAACCGGGACGAGCCATCTCTCTTCGGCTATTAAGATCCAAGCAGCCTACAGAGGTTATCTGGTAAGACCAGGGATCTGCATTGATAGAAAATCAGTAAGACCAGTGATATTAACTTCAAAATTTGCAATGAACTGCTATACTTTTTCAGGCAAGGAAAAGCTTAAGAGCGTTGAAGGGTCAAGAGCGACTTCTAGGCGTTGTACGAGGGAATAACGTGAGGCGACAGACACTGAATGCAAAGAAACAGATGCAACTATTGGTTCGGGTGCAATCTCAGATACAATCACGACGGATCGAAATGCTTGATACCCAGAGGCAACCCCAGGATCATCCCAATGATAAAGACGTTCACAGTACCTTCGATGCGGTACGTGTTCTAGTTCCTTTTGAGGTTTCTTGTTTCTAGTATGAATGAATATATTAGAGCTCATTTTAGTATTGAACTGTTCTCTCAATCTTTTGTCTGTAATGCTTATGGTTGTGAACTTCTGCATAGTCTGAGGGAGGTAATCATGATGGTTGGGATGAAAGCTCGATAACAAAGGAGGAAAAAGACGCTCGATTGCAGAGGAAGGTCGAAGCGGCCATTAAACGAGAACGAGCGAGGGCATATGCATACTCCCAATTCCACCAGGTATCCCCGTTTCGAGATTCGATCGTAGTCTACATTGTGGTAACTCGTTGTTCGAAATATGTATGTTTTGTGTTCAAAACTTGCAGAGAACCACTCCAAGGTTGGGGCAGGATGCTCAAATGGATACTTGTTCTATGGGAGCTCCGAGGTGGTTGAAATGGTTAGAAGGTCCATTACCTACTGAAGCTTCTCCGAAGCATCCTCTACCGAGATCGTTAACTCCTCAGCCGGAGCAGAAGTCGAGCCCACGGTACAGTTTCGGCTTAGATGGTAGAGATATTCCCACACCAAAGTCAACAAAATCAACAGCATTCTCAAATGCAAAGCCAGCACGGTCACCACGTCGATTGAGAACCCCTCAAACAGCAAGGTCAAACATGTCCAACGATTCGAGATCACGAGGCAACCGAGCTTTCTCTCCTTTCGATATGAGGTTAAAGGATGATGACAGCCTTGTAAGCTGCCCTCCATACATGGCACCACACTATATGACTCCTACGGTTTCGACCAAATCAAAAGTACGAGCTCGTAGCAACCCAAGGGAGAGGTTTCCAGGTACGCCAACAAGCGAATCATCTAGCAGGAGGCAGTCGTTTCCGATGAGTCAAGGTGCTGGATCATTTAGGAACAGAGGTTTGATGTCGTCGCCAAAGGATCATACAACGTTAGACGGCAACCAATCTTTACGATCGGTCGGGAACTTCAGCTTTGCTTCGCTACCAACTGGAGTTGGAAGGAAACCATTTAACAGATTTGTGTGATTTGATTAACCCCTCTTCTTACTGTTCTTCATGTGTTTCTAATGATAATTGAGTGTATTTATTACTATTATATGGTTTTGTGTTGCAGAAATACTGATTTGTAATAAGAAACTCAAGGTTTGGAGCTCTGCTTGGGTTTGGGTTTGGATGTCCACCTTAATCTACCATAGAGGATTGTTTGTCACATTCCATATTTTCCCGTCTCAATTTTCATTAACATGATACGTCATCGAGACCTTAAAGAGGAAAACGAAACATTTCTTATAAAAGTGTGGAAACTTCTCTCTAGTAGACACGTTTTAAAACCATGAGACTGATTGTGATATGTAACGAGCTAAAGTGGACAATATTTGACAAGACAATTCTAAGGTGCTTTATTAGTGTTTCCACGGACACTTACCGTAATACAATGATGGCTTGAATTGGCACTCGTGGAAGGTTTCCACTTATTTCCTCGAATAAAATCAAGTATTTTTTGAGGTTGTAAAGTTTCTTCGTTTAATTCAGCCTTATAAGACCATGAATTTGATGACATATATTACTTTGTCCAACCATAACACTCAAAAGAGTTACGGTGGTGGTTATCGATTTTTTATTTTCAATTTTGATAGAATGAATTTCTCGAACACAAAATTCTAGCTATCGTTCCTCCATTATGACCTAATGTATCTTTTGTTCATAAAAACACGAAGAACATGATCATTTGTATTCGCCTGGAATGTCACATTTTGGAGAGGGGAAGTTGTGTTAGATTGACATTCGTCAGAGTATTGTAAGTTGTCACTGACGTTAGTTTGATCGAGAGAAAAGAGATTTTGTAGGTGAAAAATAAAAATTAAAACGGAAAAATAAAAAATGATTTGGTTTTAATTCTCTTTTATGAATTAAACACTAATTTTTAAATCTTATTTTACCTTTTTTTTTTTCAAATTTAAAATGCGAAATTCAGTTTTGTTGGAATTTTGGCAAAAACCTCTCCTTCTATCTCCCTCTCCCTCACATGAAGCAGCCGCCCCCTTCGGATTCCTTCATCGCTGGCCACTTGCAACAGCTCCGACCGGCGGCCTTGTCTCCCGTTCTCTCTACTGGCGCACGCGAAGATCCAGCGAGCGACTGGTGAACGTCTAGTCTCCCATTCTCCCATTCTCTCTAAGGCCCTGGCTCAACTGGTTAGGGGTCGATGTGACTCGAAGGATTAGTTTTGGAGAGCTTGTGAGGGCTAAATAAATAGGAGAGTTTAGAGAGATCAGTATCCGATTCTCTCCAAGGTTTGTCTTCTTGTTGATTCTACTTCGAGGAAATGGTTGGATTTTGATGTGTATTTGATGAAATTGGATTTTTCTTTTATCTTCTTTCTTCTTATGTTTAGCCGAAGATTGGTTGGAATTGTTTTATTTTTCATTCTGTTTGTTATATTCTTTGGTTGCAGTGTAAAGGCGGTATGATAAAAGATTCCGGGTGCTAGATTATCACTGTATGTTTTTTCAAGCTTGAGGATATGAAATAGTTCTTCTGTTTTCGGGCTTTCATCAATTACTCTATAAGCTATGACATTTCTGCTCCTAAGAGTTGTTCCACATTTATCTCGAAGAATCTTAGCTAGAGATTTAACTACTCAAACCCATATAGGGAAGAAGTTTATCTTGTTTGATGGGAAAGACGCCAATATAAACCGTCTTTGTAATGACAAGAAGTTCAAAGAGGCTATAGACATTCTCTGTGAGAAAAGATGTTTAAGAGAGGCGGTTCAATTGCTCTATCACATAGAGAAACCGTTTGCTTCCATATACTCGACTTTATTACAATTTTGTCTTCAACAACGAGCTCTTGAAGAAGGTAAACAAGTCCATGCCCACATCAAAGCCTCTGGGTTCATACCTGGAATTTACATTTCAAATCGTTTGCTTGATATGTATGCTAAATGTGGGAGTTTGGTGGATGCCCAGAAAGTATTTGATGAAATGGTCGCAAGGGATTTGTGTTCCTGGAATACCATGATTTCTGGTTATGTCCAAGGGGGGCATTTTGATAAGGCTAGAAATTTGTTTGACAAAATGCCTGAGAGAGATAGCTTTTCTTGGACCGCAATTATTAATGGTTGTGTTCGACATAACCGTCCTGAAGAGGCGTTAGAGTTGTATAGATTGATGCAAAAGCATGAGAACTCAAAATCCAACAAGTTTACTGTATCTAGTGCAGTGGCTGCCTCAGCAGCTATTCCAAGTTTACAAATGGGAAAGGAGATACATGGTCATATTATGAGAATGGGGTTGGATTCAGATGAGGTAGTTTGGAGCTCCCTATTGGATATGTATGGGAAATGTGGAAGTATAGAGGAAGCTAGATACATTTTTGACAAAATGGTGGAAAAAGATGTTGTTTCATGGACAACGATGATTGATAGGTACCTCGAAGATGGGAGGAAAGAAGAGGGATTTGCTTTATTTAGACACTTAATGAGTTCGAAAATCAAACCGAATGAGTTCACATTTGCTGGTGTCTTGAATGCTTGTGCTGATCACGCAGCAGAGGATTTGGGTAAGCAAATTCATGCCTTCATGATTCGCGTAGGATTCAACCCATTTTCATTTGCAGCAAGCGCTCTTGTTCATATGTATTCCAAGTGTGGGAACATCGAGAATGCCAAGAGTGTGTTCAAAGGAATGCCGCGACCCGATTTGGTTTCATGGACTTCGTTAATTGTTGGTCATGCACAAAACGGTCAACATGATGAGGCCCTCCATTTCTTTGAATTGCTACTTAAATCAGGCACTAAGCCAGATCATATTACTTTTGTTGGAGTTTTGTCTGCTTGTACTCATGCTGGGTTAGTCGATAAGGGACTTGAGTATTTTCACTCCATCAAGGAAAAACATGGTTTGTCACATACCGCTGATCACTATGCTTGTATAATCGACTTATTGGCCCGTGCTGGCCGGTTTACAGAAGCCGAGAGCTTAATTAACAAAATGCCTATGAAGCCAGATAAGTTTTTATGGGCTTCTTTACTTGGTGGCTGTAGAATACATGGAAACCTTGAACTAGCAGAAAGAGCAGCAAAATCTTTATTTGAAATAGAGCCTGAGAATCCAGCCACTTATATTACCCTAGCCAATATCTATGCCACTGCTGGGAAGTGGGCTGAAGAAGCAAAGATCAGAAAGGCCATGGATAACAGGGGAATAGTGAAGAAGCCTGGTTTGAGTTGGATTGAGATCAAGAGAGAGGTTCATGCATTCACTGTCGGGGATAACTCGCATCCAAAGTCGCAGGAAATACTTGAGTATTTGGCCGAGCTCTCAAAGAGAATGAAGGAAGTTGGCTATGTACCTGATACAAACTTTGTGCTACACGATGTGGAATTGGAGCAGAAAGAACAAAACCTTTCTTACCACAGCGAGAAACTTGCAGTTGCATTTGGAATCATTTCAACCCCTACAGGTACGCCAATCAAGATTTTCAAGAATCTAAGAACTTGTGTAGATTGTCATAATGCAATTAAGTTTATTTCGAAGATCACGAAGAGAAAAATAACTGTTAGAGATTCAAATAGATTTCATTGTTTTGAAGCTGGTAACTGTTCATGCAAGGATTACTGGTGAATTTCTTGTAGACTTAGCTTCCAAGTACAATATTGTTCCTCATAACATAATAGATTATAGTAATGATTGGTTGCCATTTGTTAACATCTTGTTCGAGTTGCATTTTGTTCAATCCGAACAACTGAATTCAATCCAATACAACCATGAAATACTTAAGTTCGGCCGAAGACACTATTAAGTGGGAATGATTGGGGGAAGTTGAAACCACAATTATATTGGCAATATAAGTAGTATTAGTAGAAGTGAGTCCTAGGCTCAACCAAAAGCTAAGCTACATAGACACTGACATAGCTTGCACATGTAGAAGCAAGCAGAGCATTCACACAGATCAGTTTCCACTTTTAGTTACACAAAACCTTTCTTTCACAAAAAAGGACGATCTTAGTACACAAAGTTGCACCAAGCAATGAGCAGTCTGAGTCAGTCCACAAAAGCAAAAGCCAAAGGGTGAGGTTGAAGAAGTAGTTGAATTGGGCAAAGGGAAGTAATGGGAGGTCGACAAGTGCGGATCGCACTATTTGTGTTGATAGCCCACTTTGGAAATGAGTATCAGAACCCTCCTCCATGGCCTCGCACTTGGGCCTATAAATTGAGGTTGTGTGTGTGAAGTTTGATGCAGCAGAAGGAAGAAGGGGCCAGGGGGGTGTGGGTGTGTCTTTATGTTATGGGAAGAGTGGCGGTGCATGGGAATGAAGAGGGTGGTGTTGTAGCCAAGGATGACTTGCCTGCATATATAGAACTACTAATCAAATCACCTTGGCTAATATTTGGTACTTGCAGGCAGTCTCCTTGGCTAATATCACAACCTCTTATCTCTCATGCTCCACTTTTTTTCCTTTTCTCTTCCACCAAGCTTCTCGGGAGGCCTCCTGCCCGTCTATCCATCTTTTTCCCGCACACGGGCAGATGGGAGTTGAATCGAGATTACTCTCACTAACCATATTGCCCAAGGTATACATAATTTGAATTTGAAGGAAAAAACTTACGATAATTATTTAGTTTATATGTTTGATAATCTTCTCGTTTCTTGAATTTTAAAAAATGTTTTTAATTCAAAGATAGATTCAAATGGGATGTTTCTTGAATTTTAAAAATAGTTTTTAATTCAAAGATAGATTCAAATGGGATGTTGGGGCCATCAATTTTCCATTCAAATTGAACATTAGTCAATTTAAACATATTTTTTAGATTAATTTCAAAGTTGAGCATTTTTTTTAGAATAAAATTCAAAATTCAAAAATAAGAATTCAAAATTTAAGCAATAGAATATACAACATAATTGAGGAATATGTATAACTTAGCCTTAAAGAATTAGTCCTTAATTATCTATTTAAAGTTGTATTTGCACTCTTAATTTTTTTTTTTTTTACATTAATAAATATTTTTGTCATATTATTATAATTAGTAGGGCTGTACATCCCTTTAACTTAAAATTCCAGTCGTCGAGGGCCTATATCTACTTATAGCATATATTGTCATATTTGGGTTTTGGGTTTTCCCTTTTCTCAAGACACGGTCTGTTAGAGAAAAATTTATACATCCTTATCAACAGTGTTTTGTTCTCCTCCCCAACCAACTAGTCGAGACTAGTGAAGAAGTCATATCGATTGAAAATCAAAATAATGAAAACGTCATATGCTAAAGATGGGATCTCTAAGCATAGAACATTAGAAATTTTTCTATTTGATCCCTGAAGTTCAAAATATAACATTTTTACACTTGGAATTGCAAAAATAAAATTACTTTTCATTACCTTCTAGATTTCAAAATCTTACCCTATACATGAGTGCTTATAAAAGAAGAAACTTCCACTGAAAAAAAGCATCCTTTTTACCAAACCCACATGTAGAAACAAGTTCCCCTTAGAGTTGGATATCATCATCATCATCATCATCAAGACATGAAGGAAGAACAACAATGGACGAATGAGATGTATAGGATAATAGCATAGCACTTGTGTGTGAACGCACTGTTATTTTATTTAGCTTACTTTCTTAATAAGTACTTCACAAGATGACCATAAATGGCCATGCTCTTCTTTACCTTCTACACTACCAAACTTCTCCTACAGGGTAGCACAGACACAGAACAAATAACTCAACAAGTTCTAGCCTAACCTCATGTCTTGCCTCTTCTGCTACCCCACTCAGAACTGAAGATGCCTCTCATCATGCCATTCCTCCACCTGTTGCCGTCCGGATTATCTGAAACAGTGCTGCAAGATTCAACAATGGAACAAAACATCAGCCCACAGACACATAACCAAAATCCACTTCTACTGCAGGAAGGCCTCAACAATATAATCATTCATGATCTTAAATGAAAATTGTGTTCTGGGGCCATCTTTGAACCACAAAAGTATGAATATAATTGAATCCTGGACAATTTTGGACTCATTCTAAGCTCAAGATGGACGGATTACTAGCTAAGAAGGCCTCAACATAATCATTCATGATCTTAAATGAAAATTGTGTTCTGGGGCCATCTTTGAACCACAAAAGTATGAATAGAATTGAATCCTGGACAATTTTGGACTCGTTCTAAGCTCAAGATGGACGGATTAATAGCTACCATGATTCTTTCTACACACCATTATAAAAAAATATTACAGTTTCATTAAATCTATGGCATATATATAATTACATGTATTCTCAACCTTTCATTTTGGGTCTTCATGAGAATTTGAAGAGAGGACCTCTAGATATCATGTTCTTTTTAGATAGATTAAGGTAAATATATGATGATTGAAAAACAACCGCACAGAATCTTGAGCCATATAATAGAAATTCAGAATAGATCAAAACATAGGCATAAGCAGATGAAACTATCATTCATAATCTGGAACGCGGACCAAGAAAATACTCACATGATCCAATGACGACAAAGACGAAGAATCCAAGAAGAAGAGGACCAACAGGATAGTCCTTTCCCTTCTTTGTAGTAGTCTCGGGCACGGCCCCTCTCTTCAAAATGTTCTTCTCGAACCTCTCCACCTTCCGATCCGCAAGACGCCGCGATGTCGTCTACAAAACCGATCAAATCAAATCATAAATCGACAATGCCAATTACGTTAGATCCGCAAACAAAACACCAACAAGGAACAGAGCCAAATTCATGAGAAAAAAAAAAATCTATAGATCAAATCTCAAAATAGAGAACCCTAGAGGGGAAAGAATCAAGATCAAGGAAGAAGAATGATTCAGAGAGAAAAAAAACACAAAGAAAGTACCATTACTGAGTGGGAGATCTGGGAGGCGGAATTGATCTGGAGCAGAAAAATGGAGACGAGTTCTTCAGATTTATGTATATATGAACGAACAAATCAGGATTTTTTTTTTTTTTTTTCCAGGATCTACACGGCACGTTATATTATATTTAACCGTGTCGCGACACGTAGTTTGCATACGTGGCGAACGCTTATTGGATTTTAAGATGCCACGTCAATTTGTTTTGTATCCACGTCAAACCGTGGGCAGGTCGCCCGCCAAGGCTGCTATACATTAAAGCCTAAATTAATAATAAAAAATACTACGTTTTTATTTATATTTAACGTTTGGATATTTAAAAAGATAATTGTTTTTAATTAATTAACCTAAGAGTTTTTTTTTTAGTTCAAGAGAATTTTATTAATTTATTGTAATTTTTTATAAAGTATTATATTTTTATTTAAGCGTTATTATCAATAATGATATATTTTTGCTCATTTTTAATTAGGGTTATATGATTAATTTAGCAATATATTTATTTAATTATTACTTACTAATAATAAAATAATAACTTGGATGGTAATTAGTTACTTTCAATTTTCAATATTAGGTTATCCATCTTCTTTTTTCCATTTAGAGTAAATTATTATAATAATATATATTATTTTAATTATTATAGATAACTTTTCATACTAAATTAAAATTAAGTCTTCATCCAAAGTTATCCCATTTTGCCAAATTTTAATAGTAATAGTTTATTTGACTTAAAATTAAAATTCATACAAAAATAAAGTGTGGGGTTTTTTTTTTTTTTCCGTCTAATAGTAATGTTCGAGTTAGATAACTTTTATATTACATGCTGCAAGAGTTATAATTTTTATAATTTTATTCACTTCATTCCGCTTAAAATCGATTCAAGATCACATAAAATCGAGAAAATAAAATTAAAAAAATATATAATATGTATACTCATTGATAAAAACTACTGCCGATTCCAACATTTCCATCGATATTATGTTAATCTACAAATTTAAAAAAGTATTATGTTCGTGTAAAAATTAGGCATTGACGATTTTTAATAATAGTTCCGACCCTAGAGTTTAATAAATTGAATTTTACGAACATGACCAATATGAAATAAGCCTATCTATGCATACATTCCAGGGTTGAAAAAATGGTAGTTTCTCATGGATTCAAATAATTCTAATGAACTTTGAATTCATGAGTTGAGTAAACCCAGTACATATATCCAACATGATCCACCGCCACCTGTGTCAAAAGCAAATAATATACAATATTCAAATCAAATCTAAGTGAAGGAACACCTCCTAATCACATATGCATATCGTTAGAACGGGTGGATCCCACATCTGTTGGAGAAGGGAAAGATCATTCTTTACAAGAACGTAGAAACCTCTCTTTAGGAAACGCATTTTAAAACTTTCAATGGAAGCTCGAGAGAAGTCCGGAAGTGAAAGCATAAAAAGGACAATATCGGCTAGCGTGGGTTTAGACGAAAGCCAAAGCCAAAAAGCCAAAAAAAACCTGATTCTCCTTGGGGCTTCTTCTCTCCTATGTATCAAAATGAAAACGATGCGGTTGAATACATTAAAAGACAGGAACCAAAGTCGAGATCAAGCAGCGAAAAGCCACTCTAAAGTTGGGAGTAAGATAGCTTGCAGTCAGTGATATAATCTAGATCATAATCAGCTCAACAATATGATTCCAAAGACAAATAAATAAATAAAGCAATCTGGTGAGCGGTGATAAAGAATTGAGAGAGAACTATGCATGTATTCAGCAGAAGAAAAAGAGACTTGGAAAGTAATTACTTACGTTTACTCGTACCTCACAAGCTGACGGCTCTGAAAAACAGCTACGGGAGGGAATATATACAAAGCTTGCAAGAGCTTCCACAAGCGGCTACAGTGACATAAAAGGGTATAAATTAACCTTCTTAAAGATCTTCAAGTTCAAAGGCATAGTAACATCAAAAGGCTATGATTTTCGAGTACGGATCAATCGAACAAATCCTTACAGAGGGAAAAAGAAAGTCAGAATGCTCTAAAGATGTCACCTATTTCTAATCAGCTTCTTCTACAAAGTTTACCATTCACAACGACGAGGAACAAATAATCCATGTTCAAGAAACTTGCATTTCATTAGTTTGCACCGTTTTCCTGACCAGTTTAAGTTCTAGGACATCTTCCGCCACTTCTATTGCTACAGGTTTCACCATATCCTCTTTTCTTGCTTCCCTCGGTTTCTTCTCCATCTTTCCATCACTAACATCTACGATCTCGGTCGTGGAATTTTGTGGTTTAAAGTCCTCAATCTCTATGATTTCTTCCTTGGGAATTTCTATGACGTGAAGAAGATCAACTGGAGTGGCTGCAGGGTCCAGTTCCCTGCAACCTCTGGGAGCGTTCGGCCCTTCTTGACCAGTAAGCAAATGTGAAGGTACAAGATGAGAAAACCGGAATATCTCATCTTTAGGGATCCTTCTTACTTGGCTTGGGTCCAAATGACGATGAAATACAGCCCTGAAACCAGCCACCTTGACGAGGGGAGTAACAATAACACCTAGTTCTTTGCTATAATCCTCAAGAACTTCTACTATGTCATACTTGTGTATTACCTCATCTGATGTCAGTTCATTCCAATCAGGGGACCAATTCCTGTAAAGAGTCCAAACATCTCCCTTTCTGGGATGTATGCAAATGTCTCCGTATGTGCCTTTTGACCATCTGACCTTGTGTGAAAAAGAATTAAGGGAACTATAAATCTCACGCCTCCCAGTTCTAAAATCCCCACACGTTTTTGGAAACCCGGGGCTTACCCAGCTCAGTGAACCCAAGTCATCACCAATTATTGAGTTTAGCCAACGAATCTTCAATTTAAACGGGTTCAAAGATACTACACTATGAATCCAGGCATAACGTCGAGGCATGCCATCGTCATCATCATAAGCAGCCCAGACCTGATTATTTCCGAACGAGCTTTCTGTACAGTCTCTATCAAAATTGTGAAATTCCGGATCAGGGACATTTATTGACAGTGTTTCTGCACCACGGGTACATGAATTGCTAGGAAAATCAATCACTGACTGTGGTCCCTTCTTTGAATTCAGAAGTTCAATGGGCATGTCTTTATCATCCTGATTACCACTCACTGGAGCTGTTTCTGTCTTCCCAGTTACCTTTTCCTTCCCATTTCCCTCTTTGACTGAACCAGTCGTTGAACTCCGTGAATTCAATTCACGTAACATCTTCCTTATTTCCACCTTGGCCTTCTTGATTAATAAGTTCTTAAATTCACTAAAAGAGACATCCTGAGAGCTCTGGAGCGTGGTATTTCCATTTATATTACCCTGAGTACAACCTTTCAGATTGCCCAACCTAGTCCTTTCTAAGCCAGTTTTTGACTGATTGGTCATATCTCTTGCATGGGAGCTAGAAGAAATGTCATCTATACCTCTTCTTCTCTTTACAGCACCAGAGTGCCCTGTAGATGAAGCACCAGGGGTCTTCTTAGATGTTGGGTGCTTTCTTCGTTCCTCTCTTTTCGCAGCTTGTGCCTCCTCACGTTCCCTTTTCACTTTCTCATATGCCTGCTGAACTACAGTTGCAGCTTGAGCAGCTGATGAAGCACCACCCGTTCGTGAGAAAGGACCCCATTGAAAGTTGTTTTGGCTATGTGTGGAATGATTTGATTCACTAGCTCCCATGTATGATGATGGAACTTTTTTACTGCCAGTTTGATAACTTTGCTGTGTAAAATCCCATCCATTAGATTTCACGCCGTTCGAAGGGGGTGGGGGTGTTTCAATAGCAAAGAATGGCTCATGACAGTTGGGGCAAACAAGATTATGATGTAGATAGACTCGGAGATACTCATACTGCATCTTGCACCGATGGCACACCGTCCAAAAGGTTAGTTTTGGTTTCTGAGATGAAGCTGAAGCATAATCCGGTCGGGATGCACTTTTCTGTCTCTTCATATTTGAAGTAGTAGCACTTTTTGTGAAATTGTAAAAACCATTTCTCCCGGCTTGTGAAGACGAACTCCCCCGTGACGTTGAAACAGTTTTGTTGACTCTAACATTCCTCTTCTGGTCATATACTACTCTTCTGGCTTTATCAGACAACAAACTCCAGGCCTGAGAAATAAGCTTAAAAGCCCCATCAGCTCCTACAGACTTGTTTTTGTCAGGGTGAAGAATAAGAGCTAGCTTCCTGTAGTGTTTCCTGACTGTTTCCTCATCAGCTCGTGGATCCAGACCAAGTATCGCATACCAATCGACTTCTCCATTTATTTTTTTTTCTGCAGAAACATAGACATCGAGCGTGGCTAACATTTGAGAGATACCATCGAGTCCTGGAAATAAATTTTGTGCCTTCAAAGCAAATTTTTTAGCCCCCATTAAATCTCTTGCTGTAAATTTCTCCTCAGCTTTCTCTTTAGCCCTTGCAGCCTCATCTTTATTACACTCCATTATTTCTTTCCCCTATAAACTTGCCTGCTTTGCTTTCTTATTAAAACAGCAGGGCTTTTTGTTTACTATAAAACCTTCAGCAACCACCTATTTGATTCTCTGACTAAGCGTTTCCTCATACTTCAAAAGGAACAATGCTCCTTCACACTACCATTGGGCATCAATGTAGAAGCAAACTGCCACAGGAGAAACATTACCTTCAATCTTTGATTCGATACATAAACTACTAACTATACACATCGAATTACATAACTTAAAAGCAAAAAGGAAATAGCAAAATCATTGCGGGTGTGATGGGTTAACATGAATTCCGTGGAACTTCTAAAGTAAATGGACTATACAGAATTGTGACCATTCAAATATTGCAAAGCCCCGGTATCTATTACCGGTCAGAATTGGACCATGACAGAATTTCGATCTATACCGGCACCATATATTTGATTGGGGAGGAAGATTAGAACTAGAGATTCATCGAAAAGCAAGAATATGGGCTCGTGTGAGTAGGAAACAGAAAATATCTATTCTAGTTCTATCCTCAGCTATGGGTTCAAATCTAAGAGAAATTCTCAAGAATGTTGTGAAAATTGCGTTCTAATCCTTAACACATAATATTACATTTTCATTTTCCTTAAAATCGTAAGTACTCAACAAGAAGGCAACAAAACATAACCTAACCACCAAAACACAATTCAATCCGGAATACCCTTAAATAACCAAGTTATTACATTTTAATACCGATAAAAAGAAGCCCAAATTACCAACCAAACATACACACCCTAAAAAATCATAATGCAAAACAAAAACACAAAAAATATTCACACAGCATTGATATTGATGAAAACCAAAATGGAGTTAAAAGGACAATACCCTCACGGTGGACGGTCGACGGTTGAATTTCAATTCCAGTAGCCATAAACAGATTCAGTCACCGCTCATCTCCCCAAACGGAACCGTTCGAGAGAACAATTCGAATCAAATGCTTCTGGAGCAGTTTAAGACAATCGGAGATCTCTCTTCCTTCCACCGCAGATCAAAGGCAACAAAAATTGCAGCTGGCTTGTTGAACAGAAATCGCTCAAGTCGCCCCACCGGAAACTCGATTGTCGATTCCTCGACAGTGCCGTTTCTTTAATCGAACTTGAAGACGAATTCAATGGAACCGAGAAAAATAGTAGTGCATGGGGAATCGGCTCAGCCAGAATGCTGTTCTTCGAAGGCACCTGAAGGGGAAACGGGGGGTATACCTGGGGACTGTATGAATCGACTGTATCGTTTTTCCGATATTTTTGAGCGAGGTTAGAGAAGAATTCTTTTTCTTTTTTTCTTTAAATAATATTATATAAATGTAATAAAAAGAATTTTTTTTTTTTATAAATATATTTACTATTTTTTTACTCTACACACTAAAATAGTAATATAATAGAGGCAAGCAACAACAGTGGAGAGTGGTTCAAAAGAAGTGAACACTCAGAGAGCTCAACAACACCTGTAAAAGTGCTCCATGAGGGAAGAGCACGAGTTAGGTCAACAGTCTCATTGAAAGTGCTCTGAGAAGAGTGAACGCTTCTACTAACGTTGTTTAACTCTCTCGTGCCATAATGACCCATTAGGTTAGGTATATAATTTAATAATAGTAGAAAAATGAAGATCCAGCTTGGACTAGGATTTGATGGCAGAGCCCACGATCATTTGGGCCATAAATATCTAATTGGGTTTTAAACTAGATTTAGATACGAAATTTCGGCCCAATTTTAATTTAATTTCTATTCTATTTTAAAGATTTTTAATATTTATAAATGTTATTGTATATGTTATTTTTTCATAAATAGGTTATTCATTAAATGTTAATTATTCGAATTTTAATTAATTATAGTAAACTAAAATACTAAATATTGTTTTAAATTTTATAGTCGATGGGCTAACTCATGCTTCTCTTATATTTGCCTCGACGATAAGTGGGCTTCACCTCAACGTGCTATAAATTGAAGTTTGGAAATGTATCTTCAACTGTATAATCATGCGGGTAGCTTGAATTCATCCATATCAATATATATGGCTCAAAATTTCAATATCTCATCGTACATTTGTAAATTATTCTAAAATTAAACAAGAATTATTATCGGATAAATGTTTAAGATTAAGAAAATATATAAAAAAAAAATATTTAAGGTGAAAGTGGACGTGACGTGTGAGCTCAATTAATTATAGTCGATGAGCTCAATTAATTTTTGAATTACACGTCATATTTCTTTGACTTTAGAAAATTCAAACAATAATAAATTATTAAAAAATGCTTTGACGTAACAAACTTATATGGTTGTCAACAAACTACATATTTTAATCGATCTTAATTTATTTTTATTTTTAATCCTTTCAAATTTGATCCATAATTATATATTTTCTTTGTGTATCAATTATTTTGTTTTTCTTTCTTTTGGTATCTTAAGAATGCAATTTTAATTTTAATTTTTTTTTTATGTTTTATTATTATCTTTAAACTTTAAAAATAAAAAATAAAAAAAATCTTTAAACATTTTTTTAAATTACAAAAATAGGAAGAGTACCAAGTTTCCATACTATCACCTAGGTATTTTTTTAACCCCGCCGAACTACCGAAACTGACCGCAACACGCCAGCTGCGAAGAAGTCAGTACGCGAGCGCAAGGCAGTCGTTATCCATTCAAGATAAGCTCCCAACTCCCCATTTCGTCTCCATTACGTGTAATCCACCGAATCTTCCCTTTCATTTCAATTCCCCCTTTTCTGCTTCTGTTTTCTCTCGATCCAAATAGAAAATCGAGGTTAAAGGAATAAGAACTTTGTGGGAACCATGAAAATGGGTTTTTAGTTCGATCTTCGATTTGGGTTTTCACTGTTCTGTGTGTTTGTTTGTGCGTGTGTGTGTGATTGTATTTAGTTGTGGGTTGAATGATTTTCGCAAGAATCAAATAAAAGTGTGCTGATCGGATCTATCCACTTGCTGTTCTTGTTGTTGACTGGTTTTAGTCTCGCCAATCCAATCACGCCCCCCCCTGTTCCATAAGGATTTCTTTGATTTTATCCTTTTTGGTTGATTCTTTCAATAAAATCGTTGTTGGGTTTTCTTTTGATCGAAGAATTATGATGCGACGGCAGCAGCAAGATGAGCAATCGAGTGTTTTCTACGAGCTTTCTTCTCTTGTTATGAATATCCTCCGATCGCCCCCGTCGGCGATCCCGTCTTCCGATCAGTCGTCGATGGTTTCAGCCGTGTCGTCGCGGCGGCCGATTCCGATGCAGATAACTCCGGCGGGGTTTGCGTCGCTACTTCTAGGGATTTCTTTGGCTCTGATGCTCTGTGGATCGGTTACGTTCTTCATCGGCTTTATGATGATGCCTTGGGTTATTGGATTGGTTATGTTTTTCTATGTCGCTGCTGTGGTTTCGTGCCTGTCCATGATCGGACGCTCGATTTTCTGCTACGCTACGGCTCCGTCTAGACAGGATATTCCAGGTACGGTGGTTTGATTTGATGAGTTTCTTGTGAATCTGGATGTCTAATTGATGCGATTTTGTTGTTTTTGAATGGGATTCGTTGATACCTTATCATCAATTTCGGTGTCTTAGAAGTAAAGTTCTGTTCAATTGGTATGTTGAATCTGTCAAGCCATTGGTTAAGCATTGAAAAAGGTCATTGGCAACCCATCACTATCCTAGAGATATGTATGCTTTGCAACTTCAAATGAAGGTTAGTTTTAAGTCTAGTTAGAAGAGTGCATATGAGATTACACGTAAGTTGGAGAGGGGAACGAAACATTCTTTACTAGGTGTGAAAACCTCTCTCTACCAGACCGGTTTTAAAAACCCGAGGGAAAGCCTAGAGAGGACAATATTGGGCTTGAGTTATTACAAATGGTATTAGAACCAGACACCGGGCGGTGTGTCACTGAAGACGTTGCACCCGGAAGGGAGGTGGATTGTGAGATCCCACATTGATTGAGATAAAAACGAGTGCTAGTGAGGACGCTGGCCCTCGAAGGGGAGTGGATTGTGAGATCCCACATTGATTGGAGAGGGGAAGGAGCGTCAGTTAGGACGCTGAGCTTCAAAAGAGGTAGATTGTGAGATCCCACATCGTTTGGAGAGAGGAATGAAACATTCGTTATAAGGGTGTGGAAACCCGGCGATACGTCATGGGCTAAAGCAGACAATATCTCATTCAAATGTCTTTGCAAAGGAAAAAGAACAAACTCAGAAGTCTTAACAAAAATGATTTCTTAACCAATGAGTCATTTCAACTGTAAAAAATTTTCTTGCTGGGCGTCGAACTAGATGTTGTTGTTTTCGGACCATAATTGTTAATTAATCAATACTACCGGTATAATAGTCCAAGCTCACTGTTAGTCGTTATTGTTTCTTTGGGCTGTTACAACGAAGGTTCTATTTCATCATCTACAGAGTCATAGGACTAGAAAGATCTGCTAACCCTTCAATTACTTTTTTTCGATCGGCACGAAGCTGTTTAATTAGCTAGCTTCTCGTCTTTTGTTCCTTTTTCGTGTTTACAACAAATTTATTACTTTTGAACTTAATTTTCCCATTTACTTTTGTGGCTGCAGCTTGGAAACTAATGTGAAGAGGTAGATGATGATGGAAGCAAGCGACGACGGTTTACGGTGGTGGCGGGTAGCTCTAACTTACTAGATGCTGCATTGTCGGGTGACTTTCTTTAGTTAATAAGAATATTTACTGAAACCACTACACCTAAATGTGAAATTCTCTATTTATAATCATTTATAGAATTAAAAAAATTATAAAGAAAAAATGGGAAGAGCAATAGATGGATACGAGATAACCGAATACTCTAATATCTCAAGCCTCATCGGTCATGAATTTTACAACAGCCCTAGTTTACTGTTAGTAGATATTATTCTCTTTGACATTTTCCTTTCGGGGTTCCCCTCAAAGTTTTTAAAATGATTTGTCAGGGAGAGATTTTCACACCTTTATAAGAAATGTTTCATTCTCCAATCCACTTCCTTGGAGGCCAGCATCCTAGTTGGCACACCGTCTGGTGTCTGGCTCTAATACCATTTTTAACAATCCAAACTCACTGCTAGCAAACATTGTCCTCTTTACATATTTAAGTCGTTTTGTGGCAATGCGTTTTAAGTCCTTAGATGGTAAGTTATATAGAAGGTATGTTTTTCTTTTTTGATTAAGTGTTATGAAAGTCTTACTCTATCCCTTGTAGTTGCTAGCCACATTCACAGTAACTCATTAACAAAGACTTCGGTCTTAATTACGAACATAGTAAAGATTTGTATTTGTTAACATTTGTTAATTCCCGTTAATTTATCTATTAATTACGAGTAGAAATTTGATGTGAAGGCACTCTTAACCCAGTCTTATGAGGATGTTATCGATGATTGATCGACTAAAGACAAAAGTCGATCCAACACCTTCTTGAGTAGGGGTGTATATGAGTGGAAGAAAATTAAAAAAATTTAATGGTATTAAACTATCAATAGTAAATATTAAAATTTTTTTATTAATAAATTATTATAAGATTTGTAATTATATCTCATTTAATATAATTTAGAGTATTTAGGCACAATAAGGTGTATCTTGGCCCCCACTATCTTCCAATGCCTCGAAGAAATTTAAATAAAAGTCGAGAGAGATGCAAATAAAAAATTTATAAGCATAACCTATTAAACATATTTATGAGTATAGTTCGATCGGTTAAAATATATTGTAAATAAAAAAATTGAAAAGCTTGAAAAAAGAAAAAAGAAAAAAGAAAAAAAAAAGTATGAGTGGGTCCTTGTTGAGATGAAAGGTAAATAACTACCAAAAATATTCTCCAGGTATTAATTAAAATTCAATTCTCTCTACCGAAAATACCCTTCTCTCTTTACCAAAATTACCAACAATATTCAAAGCACTAGAGTTTGGCTGGAAGGGTAATGTCGTCATGAAATTCATTTAGACAAATACTAAAGAGAAGAAGAAAGAAAAAGAATAAAAGAAATGGCGGTTACAATTCCCTCCATTGAAAGTTTAGAGGGATTCCTCCACTTCCAGTTCAGGCCTCAAATGGCAATCGCTGTGGCGCTCGATTTCCTCCTCCCGTCCTGCCTGAAGATCAATATCACTCTTGCTACTTCTCTGTTTCTCATTTTCGCTCTCTGGATTTTCTACTCTACTCGCGTTAAGAACAAGGTTGCCTCTGGTTTAAGAGACCTTCAAACTAATTCTGCTTATCTAATTAAGGTATGTTGATTGTTCTTATTCTGTGGATGAAGACTGCATGTTGAAATCGAATCTTTTACTTAGACGATGCATTTGGTTTTTCAGTTGGAATTGTTGGCTGCCAAGAATATTGTTGCTGCGAACTTAAATGGTACTTCTGATCCATATGCTATCATTACCTGTGGTGCAGAAAAGCGCTTCAGGTTATAATTTTCATGTTGCTTCTGTTCTGGAATTGTTGAATATGATCGTTGGATTTTAAATGAGATTTCTCATCTGCAATTGAATATGATTGTTACATTTTTATTATGTGAGCAGTTCGATGATTCCTGGTTCAAGAAATCCCAGGTGGGGAGAGGAGTTCGATTTTTTCGTTGATCAGCTTCCAGTCCAGGTATCTTTGATGCTATAGAGATGCTATCATTCTTGCTACGATCTGACTGCATATACACATACTTTCTTATTGCTACAATCTTTTGAGAAGTTTGAGAAAGAGTGAGAGAAGTTTGAGAGAAAATCAATCTACATTAACCACTTTGGGTGGGCTTATTGTGAACACTCAATCCCACCGCTAGCAAATATTGTCTTCTTTGGCTTTCCCTTTCGGGTTTTCCCTCATCCCCTCTCCAACCGATAAAGGATCTCACAATCCACCCCCTTGGGGGCCCAGCATCCGCACTAGCAAACTACTTGGTGTCTAACACTGATACCATTTGTAATGGCCCAAACCCACCGCTAGTAGATATTGTTAAAATGCGTCCACTAGGAAGAGGCACCCTTATAAGAAATATTTCGTTTCCCTCTCCAACTGACGTGGGATCTCACGATCTACCCCTTGGGGGCCAGCGTCTTCGCTGGCACACTACTCAGTGTCTGACTGATATCATTTGTATTGGTTTAAACTCACCGCTAGAAGATATTGTTCTCTTTAGGTTTTCCCTCCTAGGCTTCCCCTCAAGGCTTTAAAACACATTCACTAGGGAGAAGTTTCCACAGCCTTATTATTCCCCTCTCCAATCGATGTGAGATCTCACATTAATGATCATTAAGTTGGTAAAAAGAATAAAATAACTTGGTGAGAATAGTTCAAACTATAGTGACCACCTAATTTCCATACCACTCATATACTTTTTCCCCTTATCTAACAGGTTAATGTTACAATTTATAATCGGGATCTAGTTTGGAAAAGTGATGTTCTTGGTTCAGTTACTGTTACCGTTGAATGTGAAGGCCACACGGGTGCTGTGTGGTACACATTGGATACTCCTTCTGGGCAGGTGCTCATTCATAACTTCTTGCTTCTTTTTGTTATATTATTTACTTCTTCCTAGTATGAATTCATGCCCCTTTCCCTTATTAAGAAGACTGATTAAATTTGAATATGAACTTCTTAGGTTTGTCTCTACATCAAAACTATAAAATTGCCAGTCAATGCCCGAAGGTACCTTTTGTATTTTCATCTTGATCTTTCTTCATATCAAAATTATAGATTTTAGTGACTGTTTTTCAGCACATTTAATGGTTATGCTGGAGGTTTAGACAAATCAGCGCTAACAGTGGCTCATCAAAACCCGGGGCCTCTTCAAACAATCTTTGAGCTTCTACCTGATGAGGCTAGTTTCGTTCTTAAAACTACCATTGTTTTCAAAATGATTGATACCTAAGGGACATCATTTTCCTTCAGGTTGTTGATCGTAGTTTTTCCTGTGCTCTTGAGAGATCATTCTTGTACCATGGTCATATCTACGTCTCTGCTCGGCACATTTGCTTCCACTCTAACATCTTCTCAAAGCAAATCAAGGTTAAGAATGGCTTAATTTTGGTGTTTGTTGGAAATTTCTTGTCTTAAACCAAGCAGTTTTATGTTCATTTTCTTTGTTCTTGACAGGTGGTTATACCACTAGGAGATATTGATGAGGTATTTTCTGTCTCCCTCTTTCTTTCTCCATACTAATCTCGCTATTTTCTTATGAGATTTCTTGTGCTTATCTATTTTCTTATGAGATTTCTTGTGCTTATCTGATGGAATCTGTTTTGATTAAAGATAAGAGGGACTCAACATGCATTCATCAATCCTGCTGTAACAATTGTTCTTCGCATGGGTGCTGATGGGAATGGTGTACCTCTGTTGGGAAATCCTGATGGTCAGTACAAAATATGAAATGAAACCACATATTGTGGGATATGGAGCCGGGTGACTATTTATAGTAAAAATCTGGTAGAGATATATATATGGTTATAGTAGGTGATTATATCCGTTAAAAATATATAGTAAACTAAAACCATATATACCTCTTAGGCTATGCTTTCAAAATGTATTTTCTCCTTGCATTTTCTGTATTCTTTGTGTGATCAATATAATTTTTAGCCAATATTTCTCTTTACATTTTCTCTCATTCTTTGTGTTCATCTAGATTGAGTGAGTGTGTGCGTTGCACATATCTCACCCTGTCAATTTTCAACTTTCCTTGATGAAACTGTTCTTAGTTTTTAAGCTTCCTGGTGGTGGTTTGACGGTGTAAATCTTGATTTTGATTCACCTAGATGCCTCACTATCTTTCCTCACTGTCTCATTCCATTTCCAGGTAGAGTTGGATATAAGTTTACATCATTTTGGAATAGGAACCATGCAGTTGGAGCTTTACAGCATGCACTGAAGAACTTCCATAAAATGCCGGAAGCTGAGAAGAAGGCATGTTTCTTAAGTTTGTGTTTAAACAAACATTCACAATTCTTGTTAAGCCTGGATGATTAGTTCTTGAGGCTTGTTGGTTTTAATCTCATTTCAGGAGAAACCAGAGTCAGCAGAAAAGATCAGCGCTGATAATTTGTGCAAAAATAAAAGTACTCAGGCTTTTATTAAAGAGGAAGTTCTTACAAGCATACACAGCGTACGCATCATTTTTTTAGCATCGAGACCTTGTGAACCATTATCCTACATGAGCTCAATCTTTGTTTCCTTTTTTTTCTTCAGGGTGTTTTCCCCTGCACTCCTGAGCAGTTCTTTACTACGCTGTTGAGTGATGGATCAACTTATACAAATACTTTAGCTTCCAGACGAAAAGAGACAAATTTAGTTGTAAGTTAGAAACTCGGTCTTTACTTTGGGAACTTGTAGCTTCCTAAGCCGGAACAGTTATGTTTTGGATTGTTCCACTACTGTAAGTGTAGGTCATCGGTTTCTATAAAAAGAAGTGATAGATTGTGAGATTCCACCTCGGTTGGAGAGGAGAACGAAACATTCCATGTGAAAACCTCTCCCTAGCATATGCATTTTAAAACCTTGAGGGGAAGCCTAGAAGGGAAAACGTAAAGAGAACAATTTCTGCTAGCGGTGGGTTTGGGCGGTTACAAATAGTATTAGAGCCAGTCACCGGGCAATGTGCCAGCGAGAACGCTGGCCCCAAAGAGGTGGATTGTGAGATCCACATTAGTTGGAGAGGAGAACGAAATATTTCTTAAGGGTGTGAAAAACTCTCCCTAACAGACGCGTTTTAAAACCTTGAGAGAAAGCCTAGAAAGGAAATCTCAAAGAGAACAATATCTACTAGCGGTGGGT